TATGACAAGAAATCTATTTCCAATAGAAAAGGGATGTAAGAGTGAAGACATTTCCAAATCCAAAAAAAAAAATTCAATAATGTAAATTCTTGAGTTGTATGATTATGAATTGTGGTGCCTCAATGTTATGTGGCATTTATAGACCGAAAAATAGTTGCGTAGATAAGTACGGTCATTCAGATTGAATTCGCTCATTCGAATTCCTAAATTAGGTTCAATAGTACCGTATACATGTTTAAGTTAGATACTATGACTTTATTCAAATATGCTTTAACGGATTTTAATCAAGACTATCGTTTTCTATAACAAAAATCTATTTCTAATTGAAAAGGGGGACAACTTATTAAAGGGGGGACTTGAACTTATTATCTCGACTAAAAATGTCGAGGTTATAAGTTTTCAACTGAACAAGAATTTTGTTTTACAAAGTATTAAATTGTTAAAATTTTCACATTAACAATTTTTTTAACTTATTGAGAATTTCAACTTAACATAGTTAAAGATATCGTTATTTTACCGGATATATAGGAAGAACACATATTACTTATTTTTTATTAAAAGGCTATCATCGTTAAGTTTTAAAAAAATATTTTTTCAATAATTTTTATATTTTTTATTATATATATACTCATTCCTTTTATAGTCAATATATAAAGTTGTCAATATTAATAAGTTTTTTGACTTCTTCATCAGGTCTCCATGATTGAATGATTGATCTTACAATCATAGAATAAAAGTTCTTTATAATGAAACAATATATAATATTATGTCGAAGACGAGTTCTTTTGTAGCTCGAGTAGCCGATCGGAAGTCAATTATTGCTTAGTCTGATGAAGTGATAAACAATAAACCATTCAATGCGTAGAGAGGGGTTATGAAGAAACCTCATATTTAATAGAGAGTAAAAGTGCTCTTTTTAATTCAACCTTATTTAAAACTCTAATATGCTTTTAGATTACTATATATCATTTTTTTTAAATGATATATAGGAACTTTATGCTTTTAAAAATAATTACTTTAGTAATTGAAAATTTCAAGTAACTGTTATTTCAACGAAAGGCACCAACCAATCATGTCTTTATTCAAAATTCTAGTTTGCTTTCAGGAGTTTTCTAGTTTAAAAAAAATTTATACTTTAAAAAAAAATTACTTTAGTAATTAAAAATTTCACTCTAACTGTCATCTTAACTAAAGGCACCTACCAATAGGGGTCATCGTAATAACTAAACTACAACAAATTTCACAATTTATTTTACTGATTTATTTATTTTTCTCATGAAGAAGTAATATATTTTATAGGAAACACTCCCCCTAATTTGCTAACACGTAGCATATTCAATATAAAGCAACATTATGCTACTTTATATTACTTTTTCTAAAACAATGTTATGCCTCAGAGCTCACTTGTGCTCTTCAAGTTTTCTTGTTCTTCAAAGTACGAGGAAAGTATATAATTGCTTTGGTAAACAAAATCTTTACGCTTGAAATTCTTAAAAGTTAAATAATTAAATACGATAGAAAAAAAAAAAACAATTAAAGTATAAAATATTAATTAGAATTTCCACAGCAGACACCAATTAACTTCTAAATCCCCTCCTGTATTTGTCGTACTTTACTATAATTAAAACTTTGCTTAAATTATTTTTTTTTTTTTATAAATTACGAGTATTAGGAGTATAATTCCAAGGCAGCTAGCTTCACTGCCTGACCGACTGCTGGCAACTTTGTTGGGGGCTAATTTATTTTAAAAGTCTACTCGTCCGTGAAAAAGAAGAAGAAGAAGAGTAAACAAATAAATAAGTAAATAAGTAAATAAATGAAAAATAAATAAAATAAAAATTGCACTTGCCAAAAATCCTTGACAAAAATGTTGTTTTGATTGCTGCTAACAGAAAGTAAACAAAAACAAACCAGAAACAAAATCTGAATCAGAATCCCCGCATGTCACATAAATTTAAAGGAAAAATTTATAAATATGCAAAAAAAATAAAAACCAAATTTAAAAAAAAATAAAATCCCAAAAATTCGATCAAAACAATAACAGATGCGCCGACTCGCATAAACCTAAAGATAACAAGATACAAATTAATTTCAGAGATTTTAATCCCATCGAAACGGTAAAAAATGGGGAGTAACTTTGACATATTTTTCAAAATTTTTTCACTAAAAAAAATATAAAAATAAAAATAAAATAAATAAACCGACAGCACATGTGAGATACTTTCACAAATAAGTTTATAAAAACAAAAGGGCTTAAAAAAGGGTTTAAGAAAAAAATTACAATTTAATTCATGGCCAAAAGTTGCACTTTAAAAAATTATTTTTATATATAAAAATATATATATGCACATTAATATAAATATATATATATAATATTGTATATTTTATATAATGAAACAGTCGTCAAAGGCAAGAGAAGGGAAAATATTGAGGTTAATAACAATTACCATATCGCTTGAGTAAACATTTTAACCTAATTTCATATTGACTGAGCCCCGAACTACTTCCAACTACTATGAACTGGTTACCAGACTGCATGTAGACTTACATACCGACAGACTGATAAACAGACTGACAAACAGACGGATTGAGATACTCTAACAGATACGTCGTAAGCAGCTCACTCAGTCAGTTAAGTTTGCGAAAGGTATGTGGATTTATAAAATTTCTTCCACTTTATTTGCTTTTTTGCACTTCAGATACAATTTTTTTCTTTCTGATTTTTATTCCTTATTTTTTAAAAAATAATTTTTTAAGGGCTCAAGTTTCGCAAGTGAAGAAGAAACTGCATTTTCATTTCTTGTAGACGAGTGAGCTTGTTTTTGTTCCAAAAGTACTTACTACAAAGTATGAAACTGAATACAAAACATCCTGTTTTGTCACGACTGCGACTATAAAAATCCCCAAAAATAGAAGAAAAAAAGCTTAATAAAAAAAAAATTATTTAAGCGTTAAAGGACTTACTTTGTTTATCTCACTTATTTATATTTTCTTTTAATTATTTTTTTTTTATCACTGAATTGTATTTTTATACATTTTTTTTTTAATTTTTTGCTAATTAGCGTTTGCTTCTTAAATAAAAAATGTGGGCGTGTTAAGTCTGAAGTGAGTGCCTGATGACTTTCTCTTTGAATTTTGAATTCCACTACGTTTTGTTGTTTTTTTTTTTTTTGGCTTACTTACTTGCCTTTAACTTCCTTTGAGCAGGTTTCATGCTAAATTACTTTCGAAATTTCTCCCTTAACACTTTACGGAATACTAATCAGACCTTTACGTTACCTTGGCGTTACTAATTTGTATCAATGTCACGTCTGTCTCTTAGTCTGAAGGCACTTAAATGAGTTTGCCTACATGCTGGTAATTACAATGTATTTGCTATCTCCAAAAAAAAGAATTAAATTTTTGGGCACTTTTTGATTTTCTAAATTAAAATGTTTTTATTTATTCAATTTAAGAGAACTTGATTTCTATTCTAACAATAATAACTTTTAGTCTTAAATTGAGATATGTAAAGTGTGATCAAGAAGCAACATCTATAATACTTATTTCAGTTCCTAGAATAATGCTACTCTGATACGATGCACTAGTTTCCAGTTTGATTAACAGTTCTTTATTTTTGTGTTTATCAGAAAATATCGAAAACCATCGTGTAAAGTTTTAACCCACTAATATCATCTATTGGTATTGCTTTGTAGACAGAATTATAGCACTCAGACCACACTATAGTAAGTCTTCAATTCACTAAAACCACATTTTGGGAAAGTTTTTTAAAAAGAATCACAGCATTCAGACTGCGAACGGAGGTATTTTAACCCACTAAAACCACCTTTTGAGAAACGTTTTGCAAAGGTCTATTGTGAAACCA